GATGTAATTGTCAATTCAAATCCAATAGTAGAATAGGTAGTAAATGTATTAGAAGTAATCAGAGAGGTAAGGATTAGAAGATATTATTCAAGAAGTATGATTTAATGAGAAAAGTTTAGAAAGTCAAAGCTAGAGGTGTTGAAGAATCCAGAAGATTAGGATTTGAGAGAACACAAAGAATAAATGCACCGGCGCCATTGCGAACGATTTTGAGCCATGTCATTCAGTGTCTCTAACCATCGATTATTATCATCTCGCGGACCCCAACCAGGTAGTCGACACCTACCGACATGGCTCAGTCCACTCGTCATTGACTTCATTGATTTTGGCCATGTATTGGTCTCGCCGCCCCTAACTTTTTTTCAACCTACTCCTACACTACAAAACAAAGCTCGTCAAGGCAGTCGATAGTTAGCCATACGTAACACATGTCCCAACCACCTCAACTGGTGAAGTTTCACCACTTCATCTATTGGTCTGCCATTCTTACCTAGCACCCGTTTCCTAATAACAGCGTTGCTCACTAGGGTGTCCCAGGATATACGAGCAATGCTTCTCAAATCCTATGATCGAAAACCAGTAACCTACGAATATCTTCTACTCTGACTGGTCATGTTTCTCAGCCATAAAGTAGGACGGAGCGAACTGATGCGTGGTACACTCGACCTTTAGTCAGCAAACGGATATCTCGCCTTCGCCATAAGTGACGCAAGTTGGCAAAAGCCAATCGTGCTTTCTGTATCCGAGCTGAGATTTCGTCAGTCACCAGGCCATCAGCATTGATGAGACTGCCGAGATAAGTGAAGCGGTCTACACGTTCGACTACTTCACTCCCTATCACTTGTTCAGGTGCCGATGCAACCCAGTCTTGAAGCAACATTTTGCATTTCGAGGGGGAAACCGCATCCCGAACATGCTTGCATTGTTGCTTAGGGTAGTCAGAAGACTCTGCATTTTGTCAGCGTCTTCACCAACTAGGACTATGTCATCGGCATATTCTAAGTCAATTAGCGAGCCACCTGGTAAAAGGTCTACACCAGAAAATTCGGACGAGGATAATGTTATGTCTAGGAGCATGTCGATGATAAAATTAAACAAGAATGGATAAAGTGGACAGCCCTGACGGACACCACTTGATGTAGGAGAATTCCGGTGACAGTTCGCCATAAGCTCTCTATCGACCAGTGGTGTTCGAGTAGAGAGCTTGTATGAGGTTAATGTACTTCTTTGGTACACCTTTCAATGACAGACACTACCACAGAACCTCACGATCTACAGAGTCAAATGCCGCTTTCAGGTCCAGGAAAACAACTATTGTAGGACGCCTAAATGTGTGTCTGTGTTCCAGGACCTGTCGTAGTGTGAAGATGTGTTCTATACAGCCACGTCCAGGTCGAAAACCAGCCTGGTTTTCTCTAGTCTGCTCTTCACGAGCTTTCGTTAAGCGCCGAAGTATTATTGAGGCCAAAATTTTAGATACTATATTAGTTAGACTGACTCCCCTGTGATTGTCACAAGAAGACTTTTGTCCTTTCTTATAGATTGGGACAATCAAGGATTGAGACCAGTCAGATGGGCTTACGTCCAGTTCCCAGATTCTACCTAAGATCTCGGTCAACCTAGCTGCTAAAACTGGACCACCATCCTTAAATATCTCAGGGGTCAGTCTATCAGGACCTGCAGCTCGCCCTCGCTTCAGATTTCCTAACGCTTTCTCAACTTCATAAAGACTAGGGGGACTTACGTCGATTTGCCATTCAGGATGACTGGAGATCGTGGGTAACCGAAGAGTGGCTCGAGGCCAGTTGAACTGATCCCTAAAGTGTTCTGCCCATCGATCCAGTCTCCTGGATTGAGAATGGATAATAAGACCATCCTTTTCCGCAATAGTCTCACTCACATTTGGGTTCCTAATACCAGTTTTCTTGATGAGTCTAAATAGTTGTCTACTCTTGCCTATTGCCGCTGACTTTTCCATCGCTTTTGCTTTCGCCACCCACCACTGTTCACGGTCGTTGCGCAGGTTTTTTATCAGCCAGTGACTAATCTGACTTCGTTCTTCATCATGCTCAGATCCAGGTTGGATGTGTTTTCGCGCATTCATCAGATCGGTGGATGCTAAAGAGATCCACAGCTTCTTCCTAGCCTTATGGTCAACCTTACTAGCAGATATCACTGCTGTTTCCACAGCCTTCTTGATATCATTCCAACCTGCCTCCGGATGGGAATCACTTGCGAGGTCGCCTAACTGTCTTTCTAGTTGTTCCTGAAATATATTCTTCGCCTTATTATCATTCAGTAAAACCCTAAGAGGCATTCTTACGGTCTTAACGACCTGGGAGCGTGACCGCATCGCCCAAGGGACAACTTCTTGAGGATTAGCTCCGCTCTTGAAAGCCCTTAGTGGTCACCCTTACCGACGGAGACGGAAATCCATGAGGTAGGATGAGGTGTGACATTTTTAGGGTCGACAATTTCTAACCCTTTCTTCCTTGTGAGAAAGCAGCATCACTGCATATGCTGGTTGTCCGAGTAAAACACCTCACTGCTGTCACACCCTTCTTCAGTCAGCAGTACGACTTCGCTCTCAGACGTTGAGTAGCTGCTTTTAGTCTCATCGTTCCCCAGTTGACCTGCCTGGCATGGTAGGACCTGCAGGAACATATGTTTCAGCCAGTATAGCTCGGTGCGGTCATCACAATAAGCAAGCCCGACCACCACGTTAAGGTAGCAGCTACGGTCGGGACCAGCATTCTCCAACCTACTTTGTCCTGGGTCTTCCATTCCAGTTTTATCCAACAGTGATTTGATCAAAATTCAACATGCATTCATTACAATTTTGTTTTGATTAGAATTCGATGCACAAAATAAAACAAACAAATCAACCTTCAAGAAATATGATTTATTGATTTTTATTTCTTTCAAAAAACAAGAAAATAAAGAAGAAAAAAACCACAACAAAATAACACAGAAAGTACATTTATATTGTTTTATGATAGTACGCAATTACGTTTGATTGTTGTGTTGAAGTTGAGACAATGAGAAAATAACAGTTTCAAAGGATATTGAATGAATAGTTAAGAAATGCTTCTCTATTTACTTTTTTGGAATTCAGTACAGTCATAATGAAAAACATTTGAAATGATAAATATATACCTGGAGGTACAATGGAAATACTACTTAGTAGCTAATAACTTACGGATACGAACTACCAGTGAAGAGTAGGCCCATTCTGTTAGGGACGATAGATCCCCAGAACTGACTTAAAGAAATTCCTAATTTTGTAATTTTATTTCGAATTTTATGTTTTCGCGCCAAAGACGCTCATGTTGACCTTCAGCATGCATTTCCAACTCGAGAATGCTTGACCTTTATTGGTTAATGGATTATTTTAGTACGTTGTTTTGTGGCTCTCATTAAATAAGCTTAAGTTGTGTGCTTATCAATCTCGTACCTTCTGGAATACATTCTCTACATTTTATCAAGACTTCTTCCTCTAGCAAGTGGGGTCTGGAACAATCGCAGAGTAGCCTATCGTGTCACTGCATCGTTGATCTGCGTTTCGTATTCGGGGTGAGATGAACTCGTAATAGAATTCAAGCATATTACATACCAGGGACAGAACGGCCATCTAAACAGTGCTTAAAGGCTTTTAATGATGGTCTAACATTAATTGACTCATGATTTTAATGTAGGGAAACCATTCTACATAACTCTGTAATAAAAAACCATAAAATGTGTTCATTAGTGACTAGCTTCATGAGGAAATTCTCGGAGTTCTAGTGAGAATTCGTGACCACTGAAGTTCAGCCCTGTCGAGTATATGTGGTGACTACCGGTGAGATTGCGCGAAATGCTTAGATTGATCAGGTTTAGACATTAACACCGTTAGATACCGGCTAAGTGGTTCAGGGGTTAAGTGTTCGCATGCAAGACCAAAGTTCCTGGGTCCGAATCCCTCAATTGATAGGCGTCACTCAGTCAGTTACAACGTGGAACATAAGTTCAGGTTGCCATACCACATCTGCACACAGACGCAACTGTCAGTTCAAATCCAATAGTGGTAGCGGTAGTAGAAGTATTAGCAGTAATGGAAAAGATTAGGGTTCGAAGATATGATTCGAGAAGTATAATTCAGTGAGATAACTTAAGAGAAAAATAGTGTTGACGAATCCAGAAGATTAGGATTTGAGAGAACACAAAGAGTGGATGCATCCGTGCCATTGCAAACGATTTTGAGCCAAGTCGTTCAAAATCTCTAACCGTCAGTTACTATGGTCTCGCAGACCCCAACCAGGTAGCCTACATCTACCAACATGACTCACTCCACTTGTCAGTGACTTCATGGATTTGTGCCGTGTTTTGGTTTGGCTGCCCCTAGCTTTCTTCCAACCTACTCCTACATCACAAAACATAGGTTGACGGGGCAGTCGGTAGTTAGGCATATACAGCCCATGTCCCGACCATCTCAACTGTTGAAGTTTCACTACTTCATCTATTGACCTACCATCTCTACCTAGTATTCGTTTCCTAGGATATACGAACAATGCTTCGGAGACACCTATGGTTTAAAACCACTAACCTACGAATGTCTTCTACTCTCATCGGCTATGTTTCGCATCCATACAGTAGGACAGAATGAACTGCTGCTCAGTAGACTCGTCTTTTGGTTAGCAAACAGATATCTCGCCTACGCCACAGGTGACGCAGGTTGACAAAAGCCAATCGAGCTTTCTGTAACCGTGCTGAGATTTCGTCAGTTACCAGGCCATCAGCACTGATGTCTCATCAGTGCAGCGATCTACACTCTCGACTACTTCCTTCCTTATCAATTAATAGGAATCATGCATGAGCACTGCCACTAATTAGTCAAACTCATCCTCCAACGAAACAACCATCTAAACTATGCTTCCAGATTTTTACTTATCATCTAAAACAATGACTGATGAATGATTTCAAACGGAAAAAACAACAATCCCCGTAATACATGTAACAATAACTTGTGAATAAACTATTTTTATTCTAAGAAAAAAAAATTCTAAACAACCACCATATTATGTGAATGATTACAATCATGAAATAAAGGCATAAAGAAATTCACATGCTACTTATACAAGTGGTGTACACTGAATGAGCTTTAATTTGTGATAAAGATAGTAGAGTGAGTTGTTGGTGTTCGTTTGTCGTGTTGTAGAAACCCTCATCATCATCAGCCCAATAATATCAATCATGCTGACTTCTCAATTACAGCAGGGGAATTCTATAACAGCAAGGCAAGCAGACAACAACAAAAAAACAAATTCAACGAGTTTTAAATGCCATTTGTACAGGTAAACGATGTTTTAATTCTCTCAATGAATTTGATGTACTCATTGAATAATATATTTCTAATAAATTATTTTTTATACCTTTATTATAAAAATTACAATTATGAGCCGGATTTGTGCGTATTGAAGAATTGTGATGTTTCAATTGGTGATTCCATTTTGATTGTTGTTGTCGCCTAATAGTAGAAGGAGTCATTGATTTTGTATTGGTCGATAACAGCATTTCGTCTGCGTCGAATAATGTTGAAGAAGGCGAAGGTGAGGAAGGAGTATCATGACATATTCTCCTGTTCTTATTGATTGACTTCCGACTCTTCACATCACCATCGTCATGATCATCACGATCCCCACGATAGCGAATCAATTTTTTTCGTTGAAAATATTCATATGATGTAGAATTGATAAGAATAAGCCATATATGAAATGTTAAATAATGTATCAGTAAGATGACAGTGACAATTAGAAGACTAGTCATGCCTAGAACACGTGGAAATGTCATGAATAAATGCTAAAACGAAAAATCAATATCAGAAAAAAAAGAGAAAAACAAAGAGAGGGAGAGAGATGATATTGACACCATGAAGTGACATGAAATAGTCATTATTTACTGATGGACAAAATGATATAGGCCAAAATAATGTAGACACGTTTTATACACATATAGGAGGAGGTGTACATGAGCTATGAATAACAAGTCAAATATATCTAACACTATGTGTATCCCGAACGTAGCTGAATCGATCAATGATAGATCAATGTTTCAAATGTGTAACTTAACAATCTTCACAACCTCGTAATGTGCTCACTGGTGACTAGCTCCGTGAGGAATCTTCTCCGAGTTCTAGTGAGAAATCATGACCAGTGATGTTCAACCTGTTCGGGTGTGGACAGTAACTATCGAAGACTATGTATGAGGTTGCGCAAATCCGTTTATTGATCGAAGTTAGACATTAACACCGTCAGATATCGGCTCAGTGGTCCACAGGTTAAGCGTTCGTGTGCGAGACCGAAGGTCCTGGGTTCGAATCCTGCGGGGTGCAGGAGTCGTGGATGCGCACTGTTGATGAGTCCCATACCGGGACGAAACAGCGCTCCAGTGATTCCAGGTTCCTAATGTCAGTCAAACATTGATCGATTCATGGTTTCAAAACAGTATCTTGACGCAGATACTAAAAGATCGTTATCAAGCATGGTCATAGGAAACGCAAAGTGTAGTAGTGAACTACATACACCCTTGTATCATACAGCTACTGAATAAGTACTGCTAAAGCTAGCTGTAGGATACTAAAAGAAAAGGATGGATGTATTACACCAACTAACCTTTTGTAATGCAGACACTTTGTCTCAGGTCTATGAGACAATTATAACCAGTGAGTATAAAAACCTTAAGGGCTATGAGTGACAACAGATGGCACTAACAGGAATCGGTTAATTTGCGTCTCAACCTCAAAACCACTACTATTTCTTAGACGCTTACCATAGTCATCCAAATTGGGTATCTGTGACTTTTTGGTTTGTTTTTGTAATTAGTAACAAGAACTCCAAAAGAAATCATACCCGCCCCCAAGTTGTATTATCCAATCTTACAAGAGCTAAAAGTCTTCACATGTGATTTTTCGAAACCAAACAAATCAATGACACAATGTTTGAATGCTTTCACACTGTTGTGTATAATCCCGATTATTCTTCAAGTACTAACGGAGGTAATATAACTCAACATTAACATGAGTATGAAACCAAGGGTCAGGTGCTTTTTGCTAAAAAAAGTCTATCTTTACCAAATGTTAGTGGGACATAGATGGAATTAAAGCATGACTAAGTTGCTGTGCGCTGATTGGCTAATTTCCTATCCAATCAGCGCCTGATCGACTCTTGGAGAACAAGGTAGAAAATTCTTGTGTTGTCAGCTGCACGCTGATTGGCTAGATCTAATCCAGTCGATCCAGAAGCTTCTCATGTAAATACTTTGAAGAAACTAACGTCGTATCTATTTTTGCCTTCGCTTTCGTATTTCCATTTAACCTTGCTATTTGGAATATAAATCTTTTCCTGTTCCACCGTGTTTTTGATTCTTTGGAACTTGTCCAGTGTATTGTGACCAGAGAATACTAAACAATAAGAATTAGCCGGGGATTATTTAAGCAAAGCGTTACAACACAAAACAATACATGAAGGCTACCGAAAAAAAAACAATTAATAATCAATACTTGTATCAATGTGAACCAGTCCATTGGATGCATTTGATCATATTCATCTAAATAATGAGCTTGCCATAAATTTTCATGCTAGAAAATGAAACAAACAAACACAAGCCAACACAAATGTAACTAAATAATTGAATGTTGAAATTGTTTGTTTTTGTTCACGTAAAATAAAACTTTAAATTGTGGAAAAGATGATTTATTTAATATGAACATAGTGAAGAAAATTTGTAGTTCGGGTGGATGATGTTTTAGTTGTGGAGTTTTGATTGTTCTTCTTCTGAACAGAACAACATAATCATCAGCACTAACTTCAAGTAGAGAAGTGAAGTTATTCGCATTGTCTCCATGTTTGACTCGTAGCTTGTTCTGTTAACCTCGAGCTTGATTGGTTGGTTTTTACTAAACCTGAGGTGGTTTGCACCTTTGTTTTGATTGTATCCCCCCTTTGTTCTGTTTCTTGATCCTATGTTTGCCTATGATTCTTCTGATTGGTTGATAAATTGGATCAATGTCGATGTGTTTGTTGATTGCTGATTGAACTATGTGACAAGCTTCTAAAAGTTCTCTAGTGTTGTTTGTGCTCCTCTAATTCAGTATTTCCACATTGTTCCAATCGAATGTATGTCCATAATTGTCCGTACGTATTGATATAAGCGAAGAATTGTCTTGGCGTTCGACTGCTAATTGATGTTCACTTAAACGAAGATAAAGAGGGCGTCTACTTTGTCCTATGTAGTGTTTTCCACAGTCTAAGCAATTTATTTTGGAGATGGTATTTAGTTTCTCTTCGTTTGTCAATTTTTCCCTTGGTTTGTGTGCCACACCTATTCCAAATCGTTTCAATGGCTCATTTTTTGTGTATTATGTTTTTGTCATTTCCACAGTAGTTCAACACACGTACTTAGACACATGTGTTATTTGTTTCAATCACTCGTCTTTCATCTTTATCCAATAAATCTGTCTTGTGACGTAGCTGGGACGGATTGTGATACTGATTGTAGGGATAGTCAGTCTTCATAAACCAATCTACTAAAGAAGGTTACGACCATATAAATTATGAAAGCATTCTAAACAGCAGAGACAAATAGTGATGAAGTGTTATTGCGGTTATGTTCGCTATTTTGATGAAGAACAATCTGTAAAACTCAAAAACAATTAACAAAGTAACCCCTTGATGGCAGAAGTTGCTCAACTTCGACACAGCTACTTTGTGATTGAAGAATTTTCCAGAATGTTTTGCGAAAAAACAAGATGACCGAACAAACAGATTGAGAATATTTCGCAAAAACAATTTAAAACTTATTTATGCATTGCATAGTGAACTGATCAATTGAATGTGTCTATTCACTTGACAGTCAATAGAAAAATATAAATTGGATTAATGTTTTTCATATAAAAGAAACCCGACCGAAGCTGCTACCTTGACGTGGTGGTCGTGCTTGCCTATCGTGATGACCCAACCGAGCTATATTGGCTGGAACATATGTTCCTGAAGGTTCTACCATGCCAGGCAGGTCGATTGGAGGATGATGAGACTGAAAGCAGCTACTCAAGGTCTGAGGGCGAAGTCGTACTGTTGATTGCAGAGGGGTGTGACAACCAGCATCTGCAGCGATGCTGCCTTCTCACTAGGAAGGAAGGGTTAGAAAAGGTCGGCCCTAAAAATGTCACACCTCACCCTACCTCACGGATTTTCGTCTCCTTAGGTAAGGGTGCCCACTAAGGGCTTTCAAGAGCGGAGCTAATACTCAAAAAACCCTTCATCAAAAGGCCGTGCGTGACCGGCCTCAAGCAGTTGTCCCTTGGGCTCTGCGGTCACGTACCCAGGTCTCCAAGACCAACACTAATCTATCTTCCTTTTCAGGTCCCTCAAGAAACAATCTTCCACGGTGTGAGCAGCCGGGAAGTACCATCCGCCCTCATACCCGTAAAAGCTCAGGAGACCGAATCGGTCACAAACAAATCCTTCCTACACCCCCTCATACCTCTCTTATCTCCACGACTAACTCTTCTTACATTCCTTTATCACACTGCACAGCGCTAATGCGAACGATTCGAGTCCTCGAAACGTTATTCCTGACTGACTACTGATAGAAAAAAAAGACTAAACAAATTAAAAATGATGTTAACTTACAATAGAGAATAAATAAAGCATACGACAATTCAACCATAAAGTATTAAGAATCATTAAGCATAAAGAGAATAAAAATGACAAAAATAGGCCATGATTTTGTCCACCAATACAACAATTTGTCCAAACACAATGATGATCAAATCGAAATACACAATGATCACATCGAGCTGAAAAGTAGAGAAGAATAAAAAAATAGATGGTATGATATGCTTTTATTGAAACCGCTGGTCAGCCGTTTCGTCTTAATTTAGAACTCGTCAGCAGCTGGCATTCATGACTCGGCGAGCGAGAATCGAACCCAGGACCTTCGGTTTTAAAAGAGTAAACGCTTAGCCTTTGAGTTCGATTTTGGCTTGCAGGGTCATAAATGCTCACTTCTGGTGAGTCCTCTACTAGAACAAAACGGCCGTCTAGGGTGTCTACAAGTTTCCGGTGGTAGTCTAACACTGACCATTTGATGATTCCCATAATAGTTATTTGTTGTTGGGGATGTTAGATCCCCAGAACTCACTTGATAAATATCTTTATTTTCGATTTATTTCATGGACCGATCAGTTGACCTTGAGATCACATTTCCCACCAGGAAAATCCTTGGCCGTGATTGGTTACTGTGTCATTTTAGTGTGCTATTTTCGTAATTCTCCCAAGGAAGTCTCTATGGTGTATAAATAAACGCAATTTGTGTGCTGGCTGGGTGTTTGTAGAATACACTTTCTACGCTATATCAAGACTTCTTGCTAGTACATTTGGGTCAAGGGATCAGAGTAGCCTACCTGGACGCTGGTTCATTGTTTTGTTCTCGTTATTCGACTAAGATGAACTCGTAATAGTTTAAACATACCTAGAGACGAGCGTAACATTTGTGTATAGTGTACTTTTACAGTAATTTCCTAAGAAAGCTTACTTACTTACTTACACCTGTTACCCCTAATGGAGTATAGGTCGCCGACCAGTATTCTCCTAAGAAACCCACCACAATGATACTGATCAGATATTGACCTGTAAAAACCAGTCTTTTTTTAAAAAATCAACTGTCACACATTTGGTGATGTCTGAGACTTTAAAGTTTCCACTGTGAACAAGAGTCATTTTTAGTAGACTCTATAACATAATTGGTTAAAAAGTACACATGTAGTCAGTATGCATGCATCTAATCAACCATTTCACGTGATCACCTACAACATTACAGTATTAATCTAATGTCATTGATTATGTTGTAATATATACTTAGAGGTCTAAGTGACTTGGTTATCTGTGAAAAAATAAAAAACTAAAAACCTTGAACTTAACAGTACTGTAAAGCAATGTCAACACGCATTGTGTAGTCAGCATAAATTGAATCAATCAACCAATCAATAAATCGATAAGTAAATAATCAATAAGTAATTCATACTACTTACAACAATGTTTCGCTCTAGCTGGAATTATATGACAGCATATTTGACATTCTTTCGGTGAATAAATAAACTGATCATATTCATAAATATGTACATACACTGATTTATTACGTGATGTGATAAAACCTAAAATATGAAATATATATATACCAACAAAAAGATTATTTAAAATTACACAATAAATATTTATTTAATAATTTAAGTGAAAATATAAGAAATTATACAGTAGTACAATTGTGGTGCGAGCTACTTATAAGTAGTATATGACGCGAGTGTCAACGTAATGTCTGGCAGCAGAAGATGGGGGAAGATCAACAAGAAAGGAAGAGTTAGAACACCAAATGGAATTTGTATGAAACGCATGAATAAGTGAAATGTCAGACAATCGATTGATGATGGATTGAAGATTTGCAAATTAACCGTTTACGATATATGGTTTTCCTATTTTACTGAGTAACTCTGTGTTCTCCTTCACCACAGTACAATCACCGAATATGAATATTAATATATATTTTCAATAAAAAACGTCAACACTGTTATATCGTATGTGAAACTATCTCATCTTAAAGGTACAAGTGTTTAGTAACACAGTTGTCTACGCTAGATACCTTTTTATCTGTTGGCCAGACACACCATCAGCGACAACCTACTTACTATGTTAGAGAATAAACTAGATTTCAGAGGAGGAAGAAATCAGGTGGAGGTGGATGGAACACACATTGAGGAAAGTACACAACTACGTTACAAGACAAGCCCTAACTTAGAATTCCCAACATTAGAGGGAAAGTGGAAGACCAAAGAACACATGAAGCCGAGAATGGGAAGCAGACATGGAGACAATCAATAGCAATTGGATAGAAGTGGACAGGAAGGTCTAGGACAGAATAGGTAGGAGAATGATAGTCTAGGGCCTATACCCCATTGGGGGTAACAGACGTAAGTAAGCAAGCAATATATATATATATATATATATTTACATACATAACGCAGAATCGATTTGATCCAGTATTTGGGAGTCTCATCAATGCTGATAGCCTGGTGACTGAAGAAATCTCAGCGCGGATACAGAAAGCTTGATTTGCTTTTGCCAATTTACGCCGTTTATGGCGTAGGCGAGATATCTGTTTGCTAACCAAAGGACGGGTGTACTGCGCAGCAGTTCGCTCCGTTCTCCTATA